ACAGTCGAGTGCAATCCAGTGAGCTGGTTATTTTTTTCAGACGTGGACTTAGTTATCCTGGCCCTGAAACCAGTCATCTGGTTGAGTGTGGGTCATACTTGTCAACCCTCCCGATTTTCGCGGGACACTCCCGATTTCATTGGCCTCTCCCGGTTTCCTCCCGGGGTCATATTTCTCCCGATTTCTGACAAAATCAGATTTACACACAACTGTTTCCACTCGGACTTTAATACAGCTACACCATTGTTTGGTTTCCATGGTAACACGTCTCTTTAGTAGCGCGCGCAACTCAAAAGTCTGAGAGGGTGAGGCAGATATTCACAGAAAACAGAACAAGAATCGACAACTGCTCTACTCTCTGCTCACTCCTTTCCTGGAAAATGCAGGTCCAGTCCACACATATGCTCCATCAAGGACGGTGCTACAGGCCGCAAGGCAGTGCACTTACAACTACAATAAGCATGTTAATGTTAATCTAACAGCTCCGGCGATCCACTAGCACCCCCCCAATTTTGCATTTTGAAATGCTCCCGATTTCTGAGGGCAAGTATGGTGTGGGTCCTTGTACTCGGAGTCGGGCTAACGTCCACGCTAGCTTCCACGCTAGCTGCTATATGTTTTACATTGAGGTGATACTTGAGGCTTGATGTGCTGCGGTGATATGCAAATTCCTTTTTGCATAATTTGCAAACAACCGTGCTCTTATCGATGCTTCCATCCGTCCGTTTTTTTAAAACAAAATGTCCCATCCACGGGGCCAACCGAAGCGGTCTCATCAGCTTCTTCGTTCATGTTTGACTATTGTTCACTGTGGTTTGTTGTTGTCTGAAGTCATGAACGTTAGTTGGTGCTCCAGTATAATCGGTACGCCTGAAACTCATCCAGTGAGAAACGTTCCGCAGGGCAAAAATAAGTGCGATTAAAATGCGTTAATTTTTTTAACGCGTTAATGTTTGTGTAATTAATTAATTTTAATTAACGCGTTAAAGTCCCGGCCCTAATAAAAATATGTATATCCTATACACAATCAACAGACTCATTTATACATATGCACACATTAAGACATAAATAAAAGCACAACAATCAATATATACAACACAACAGTCACTTCAATATCTTTGGGAAATGTACATTAGTGCAAGATTGTCCATCTTGCACTAATGTACATTTCCCAAAGATATTAAAATGACTGTTATTTTGTATATATTGATATTGCTACTTTAGCATTTAGAACTTATAGGAAAGATATCAATGATGTTATAACTTTGTACACAAGTGCATACCGGTGGATTCATCGGCTGCGAGGATGCCCTTTCCTGGGGCTGTAATCCTCTCAGCGATTTCCTGCAGCTCTTTCTTCTGCTCAGTAGTCAGTGCGGGATACTGGTGAGTCATGGTTGCTGAAAGAGAAAAGAAAGCCCTGAAGAGGTCAGATTGTTCAACGCCGTCGACCTGGATGACAGCCAAGCAGTGGCCCCATTTTCTATTGTGTCACACAACATGGCTACCTCGCTGCATAGCTACGCTGTTCTCATATAGGGCAGGAGGATGCTGGAAAGGGACACAAATCCTACAAGATGGCGCGTTGAGTCATTAAAGCCAAGGACCCAGCGTGTGCACTCAAGTGACAAATCAAATGACGTGAGCAGAACATGTTTTTCATGAGAAAACATAGAGCTGGATATAAATAGACAGAAATGCATTTACCATCTGGAGGTGAAGAATTCCTCTTTAATATGTTAGCTGGCCTTATTGGTGGCTGCAGCAGTGCTGTCACGATGGGCTAATGTGAACGTACACCCCTCGTGTAAACCAGATCATTTTGTTCCCTATTCCCTTCTTCACTCTGCCGTAAATAAGCCGTTGCGTAAGCCCTCCCCTCCCCACCCCACCCCACTCCATGCACATAGAGGGAGCGATTATGTAACCCTGCTCCTATACACTCTGCTGCCAGTCCTCATTATGGCCTGGATGCTGCACGTCTCGTTCCTCTCTCTCCTCAGCAACACTCTGTCTTCTCCTTTTGTCAACCAATCTCTCTTTTTCCCATTGCATGTCTTTTATTTCCATGATTAATACATGACTTGGTTACATTCAAACCCCCTGCTGTGCTCACTGTGGCATGCTGATGCTTTCTGAGACAAAGGGACATCCACTGGGCAAGATGGAACAGGCATGGTATTTGTAAAATCCAACTTTCAACCATTCCCTAAAATGCATCACTCCCACTAATGGGTACGGTGCCATGGAACAAGCTGTGACTTCTCCCTCTGGTGTCTGCACCGTTTGGCAAGCCACTCCCAGCTAACGGCGTCACTGATTGTAGATCTGCTCGACATCAAGTACAGCGCCATATGATATCAGATTTAAAAAAAAAAGATTGTGGGTGGGGATACTCCTTTGGTTACAAATACCACCAAGGATAAATAATAGACAAACAGTGCTTTAATTACCACCTTACAGAACACATATCTGAGAACTTGATTACCCAATATAAAAACCCATCAACGGCAGCAAGTAACATCAAACACCCTGATAGGAGGGTTTTGCAAAGCTAAACAATGAACTGATCGCTGGATTGCCAACCGAGGCTATTTTTCAGTAGTGGGACATTCCCAAATCCTCCGTGTTAATCCTCAGCTTACAGCTATGAGATAACATCCTTTAGAGAGCACACAGGCCTCTCAATGAAAACAGTGTGCAGTTACCAAACAAATGTCCGGCGTGGCTCACTGCTAATAGTTAAATTCTACACGCAGGTGAAATTGAAGAGGCCAGGCCCGCAGTGGATAATTTGTGCCCTGAGGGAAACCGTTAGATGTAGTTAGACTATAAAAGTCACACAGATTTCTCCAGTGGAGGAAAGGAGTATTTACACTGTTTAAAGGCCAACCCAAGGGGAAAAGCATGACGTGTGGGACTTCAGATTGCTTGTGTTAGCCAGACAAAACTCATGCTCAGCAAATAGCTGCTATCTTTTGTGAAGCTCTGCATGCTTCAACAATACATTAACACTGACATTACATCCAGTGTGGTTGGGTTTCTGCTGAAGAAACATTGCATTGGAAAGGGGATGTGAAATATCCACGTTATGCAAGTCAAACGCAAAAGGAACGTTACCAACTGTGCTTCGAAATAAGAAGCTAAAAAAGGACAAGGACGTTGTAAATGTTTTCAATTACACATTGTTTATCCTGCTTGAGAAGACGACCTTGAAGGACAAAGCCCTGCTGTGTGCATGTGACCGGCCTCTGATATACGATCAGCCCGAAGCAGGTGTGGTGGCAACACACCTTTCAACACTATTACATTATATAAAATTACACCTTTCTGCCTCGGAAGACATTCTGCCATTTGGGGGGAAATCAATCCAATGAATAAATATCCATAAAGATGACTCAACATGGCAGCCATTTTAACAATAAAAAAAAACATATGACATCCATTTGACAAAACCGTTAAATGCCAGGTTTTGTTGATAGTCACAGCGCAGAATAAGAGCAACAGTTCCTCTTTTGACTCAAACAACCTGAAGCTCTATCTGCAGCAGGCTCTACCACTGCAACTAAAGGGGATAATCCAATTAAATCAAATCAAGTTTGGTCCTTTAATGAAACTGGTGATCTTGTGGTGCTTAATTTGGTCAGTTATTTACCACGCAAACACTTTAATTTCAGATGGTAATGAAACAGAAGCTTTATTGCCTCATTCAAAAAAACGAACAATTGAGGAGGCATTTAAAATCCTGTATGTCCTTGTGCTTCATTACAATATGCTCCATGCTTGAGACAGCGAAGCTTTGACAAAATGGAGGAACACTAACTGTTAGGATGTATTGATTTAATGCCAGCATTGATTGACTGATGCAGTGTTGGCTGACAGAATATAATGAGTTTAGTCCTTAAGGCCCTGACACACCGAGCCGATTTCAGCCGTCGATAGATGTCTGGCCGTCGATGAGCGTCCTGTCGCCCTACTCAGATTGGTGTGTCCCACACCGTCGTGTCTTTTCGGCCGTGCCGACAAAAGAAATCACTCTGATTGGCTGTTCAGCTTAGTGAATCAGAGCATGAGAAGCAAAACGGAAGTGAAGAAGGCACACACAGACGGCTATTATTTTTCATTTTCCAGTACCGCACTAAACATGTTTTCGATAAGTCGTATGTTGTTTGTATAATATCACGCAGTCCGTCTTCCCGTTGCCTCTTTGAATGACGAATACACACTACCGCCACCTGCTGGTAAGGAGAGTTATTGCCACTCACGCATGCGCAGTGCACGTGCTAATTGGCCGTCGGCTGAAGTCTTTGCGGTGTGTTCCAGTGCGACTGTTGGCCAAGACGCAGGAGACGTGAGGCGACACAACAATCGGGTCCGTCGGGACGTGTTCTTTGGTGTCAGTTTGGTGTGTCTGGGCCTTTAGTCTCCTGCAGTGTTTTATAGTGAAGCCACCCCAACTGTCCTATGAATAAACTACATCTTTACTAACAGCACAAGAAATTCTTCATTTTGAAAGAATGTAATATTAGTATTATTGAACTTCAGGGGTAATGTGATATTAATAATCACACGAGATAAGTAAGCAGTGCGTACCACCTCGGTTAACCAAGTGATAACACGAGTTGTTATGATGCAAGTTTCAAAACCGCTTGCTCAAGCAGCACAAACACTGATGTATTGTCTAGTACAAGAATTGTCTTCCGATCAGTAATAAATGCACCCAGCTGCATAGATGTCACACTGACATGATTTAAAGTAGCAGCCTTGTGATGATAATGTGACACTTCCACAGTCAACAAGGTTTATCTTTAAGATAGTGACGTACGTTGAGCAGGGGTTACTCTCTGGGGAAGGACATCACTGCATGAAAACTACAGCTTTAATAATGCCTTCACTGTAAAAAACAGTATATACACACTGGAAAAGTGATTTGCAATCCTTTCCATTCAAATGTTAACAATGGAGATATGTGTAAAAGATGACAGGATTATTATTAAGCTGTTTCTCGCTCACGTCTGTGATATTCATTCTAGCCTGTTGCACAGTGGTCGGCCTCAAGAAGACAAGCATGATTTCTGCACTGCGACATGAAGACACAACAGCCGACTCCCTCTCCTGTGGCGTCGTGCAGAACCCCCCCCAGAGCTGCATGTCGAAGAACATACTAATAACCTTCAGTTGAATGCACATTCATAGGAACCAGGTTTAACATGGTGTTACATACAGGTTTAACTAGAACCCCATTTTTAGCTGACATATCTGTTGCTTCCATCTACTTTAAGCTCTTCACCTTAGAAAAGAAAGGATGATTCAATCGTACTAAAAAAGCCATTCATCCTTTTCTGTAGAATGGATGAGAGAACACAAAAACCTACATTTTAAACACTTCCTATAATCTATAGCATTCACTGCAACAGGTTGTTTTTTTAAGAATAGCTGCAAACATAAAACTACACGATATGTTTTAATCATTCATCCACAGTTTATAAAGCCTGAGGACAGGGTCTGGCACATTTAACAGTTCTTATTATAGTAATAGATAGATTTGAATAAGGAAATAATCGAATGTTTGAAGATAAAAATGGGATATAGTTCTGGTTGCTAGGTTATGTTGCCTAGCCTGTATCATTATCACCACCATTTTCTTCTCTCAATTGCAAGTTGAATGCAGACGAGTGCTGATTTTTGTCACCAGAGGAGCTGCAGGCTCTTGTGTTTGGGGTGTTTCTGCCCTCAGGCCTTGATCCAGTTGAGCTAGAAGAGCCACTGTTTCTCATGCACAATAAAGCCTGTGGCAGACGTCAAGGTTACACGCATCGCAGGTCAGAAAAAGATTGACATTGGGGGATATGTGCATATTATAGTAGGAGTCACTCTGAAACCTGGTACACAAAACCATTTTTATTTTTCCAAATAGCTTATTATTGTTAAAATACAGTCTGCCAAATGTGAATATTTAAGGATTTTCTAAGCCATCTTTGGGAAGTAAGCGTTATTTGCAGCTCTAATACACTAATTATTTACTTTATTATTGATTAGAATGCAGATTTTAAACATCACATATGAATGGTAAAGAAAATATCAGAAAAAAGAGAAAAATGTCCTTCATATTATCCCATCACACAATGCCACATATTCACTGTCCAACTATAAGCTCATATACTAAAAGTGATATTAACTTGTTTAAAATATGTGACGTTATCCTTATAAAACAAGGTCTGATGGTTCAAAAGCATTACTAGGGAAAGCTAAATATAGTATTTTAAATTGAATTTATGATTGTATTTAATCTATCAATGACATATTTCGGCCTACTCTTCCTCATGCTGCCCCGCCTCCTCCACATCATAGGGTGCCTACGTGCTCAGGAGCAGATACACACCACACAGCTGCCATCCGGATCAAAATCACTATTTACTCAGATATTTTACATAAACATGATTTACACAGAGCAGACGCAACAGGCTGGGTCTCAGTTCATCCTTGAAGGTCATCGTTGTTTCGCCCTTCCTGTTGCGTATTTCGACGATGGGCGGAAATACCAGACTTTGAATACCATTTTCGACAAGAAAGGAAACTATAATGGCGTTCTTTTAAAAAAATGCGACTCCATTGTCAGGTACTTATCATTCATTTGTGGCTAACTAGCTAGGAAGAACAAGTTCGCTTAAGGCTGTAAAGCAGCATCGCACCCCCACCATGGTTATTGTAACCTATACATGATCACTAACAGATGAAGTATGTCCTATAGATTGAATCAGGAGTATTCTTACCTGCTGATGGCTGTCTGGACAGAGATCAGGAGAGTTGGAGGATGCAGAGTGTCTCTGTTTCTGCTGCAGCGCAACGTGACCCTTTAATCCTGGAGCCGTGGGCGGGGCTTACATCATTGCGTCACGTGATGGGGCGACGCCAAATAGCTTGTGCGCATGCACCGAGCATCATTGCTCAGAGAAAGGTTGCAGCATGATTCTGCAACTTTGTGGAAAACCTCTGGAACACATTTATAATCTACAGCTTTGTGTCTCTATCAGAAGCTCCTTATATGTTTTCAACCTTCTACACCACATAGGATCCCAACGATAACCCTCTAAGACGTAGTTATTTTTAATTTGTAAATTCAACCTGTATATTTTCTACTTTGTTGTTTATTTCTTGTCTTTTAATTTGTATTGTATAATGCCATGTTTTTTATGCTGCTGCAACACAAACATTTCCCAAATTGGGATCAAGAAAGTACTATCTTATCTTATCTTATTATTTAGAAGCCAAATCCTGAATGGTTATGAGCAGGACCTGTAAAATCATATTTGTTATTTCTTGTAATTGTAAAAGTTATTTCTTTTTGATTGTTTCGAGAAAAAAACAAGACAAAGATGTCGCTGATGACGATGACTTAATATCTTATTTAAAAGGGAAATGTACGCTAGAAATGTTTTTTTAAGCTTCTTCTTGCCCCATGTTGAACATGACAGAGACTATTTGAGAATTTATTTATTTTAATTAAATAAAATTGTACTTTGTTATAATTATTAGTATAAGTAAAAAAGAAAAAGAAATATATATATATATATTATTATTATTGCTGTATGTTATGTTTCTGACATGTTCAATAAATTGACAAAAAATAAATAAAAATATCTAAAGTATACATTGTAAAAGGAAATTAAGTACAGCAAACCAATTGTACATGTCCACTGCTGGACTCAATGTCCTTTCTTAACCAAACACATGCAATGTTTCTGCAACAGTGTGGCGTAACTGAAGAAAAGTGATGCAATGACTGTTTCTTCAAGCCATCTCATACAGACAAAACCAAATCCAAATCCGCAGGTCGCTCTACAGCAAGAGTTTACTATTCCATCTGTGCTATATGGTCATTACAAAAATACATTGTAACATAACATATAACAACAAATAGCTTCCAAAATATTCATATAAACTTTATAAAGAGGATGTATAAATAAGCATCTTTTTGGTGACAAAAAAAGCAAGCTCAGGATCACATGTCAGGTATTCTCGTTACACTTCAGGGCATTATTTACAAAATCATAATACAACATGATCAGGTAAGTGCATAAAGGGGTGGTCAAAGGGTAGGGTTACAGCAGCCTAAGATAATAGAAAAGGATGATTCTGTCAAAATGTTAACTGGAAGTAAGCTAGGTGTCAAAATCAAGGCTGACATGGGAAACCTGCGGGTGCAACCCTGAGTCACAGGCAGTAAACTATTCAAACCATGATGAGTCACATGAAAACTGAAAAAACAGCGCAGTCTTTCTTGCACAACTGTTGAGCAAATGCATTAGGCTTGAAAAGGTGCTCATTGGAGAAAGGCAAAACAAGTAAAAAAACAACGTAAAATTCTCTTGTACAAGGGGGAGAGTGGGCTTTTTCGAATGTTAATCAGATTAATCATTCCTTTCTACACTAAAGGTCGAATTAAATGCAAATATAATTATTTTTAAGACATTTTACAAGGCGCACCACACCTGTGTGTAAGGGTGAATAAGTGTGCAGAAAATATACGTACATATAGGCCTCTAATTGTAGTGTTTAGGTAACAATACAGTTAACTTAATGTCCGTCACACAAACACTTCCCTGCGTGGGACTTTTTCCTGAGCAGATTGCAGTGGGGGTGCCGGGCCGGGGAGGGGTACAGCTGAGTGGGTTTGTGTGTCAGCATCCAGGTGTGTGTCCGGCGTGGCGGGCGGGCTGAGAAACGAGTCGTAGTCGAAGCCTTTGAGCGGCTGCAGGGACAAAGTTAGGCCTCGGCGAGCTTTGGCAGGTCGGTCTGGCCTTTCTCTCAGCTCCAGAATCACCTGGAAAGAGATTAGAAAACCACTCACTTCACTTTTCATCGTGAACATTTCCTCAACAATCTGACTGATGTTAGAGCAGCCAAAGTGATCCCAGACAGTCATCAGTTACCTCCACAGGCTGGCGTTGCAGAAGGGCGAGGTCAAAAGATGTTCCACGGAAGAAGGTTTGACGTTTAAAACGATCAAGGGTCCTTAAGCGGCGGCAGGGAGTTTTACACAGAAGCTGGACAGAGAAACATTTGTAGGTCATGGTATGACATCAAACTAGCCAGGCTAAACTAGATACTGGCCGTGTAAGGAAACTTAGTAGTAGCATTTTGAACTACTTTTTTTAAATACTTTGTAAAAACAAAACATTCAGATGTATATGTGATATGCATTTATAACAACATATCATACAAAATAGTCACACAGAAGCAAAACACCCACTAACCTCTGTTTATTTAACTTATTTCAAAAAGTACACATAAACTACAGAAAAAAATTACATAAAAGTATATTCTTAATTTGAATTTCTATGGAAGTATAAATTAAGATGAACAAACAGCAATCCCCCTCGATTCTGGAGCATGTAGTCAAATCATCTTAAATTTGTATTTTAATGTTTTGTTGCAATATGTTTAGACTTTGTGTAATTACCTCTGTTAACAGCAAGGCCATCGGGGAGCTGAGGCTGAGGGGCATTTCGTAGGGGAACCACCTCACTTTCCTCAGCATACTGCAGTGGTCTGGTTCTGGAGGCATGGGGAACTGGGGAGGGATGGACATGTTCAGAAGGTCAGACTTTAACCATACTCTCAATGACTAGATTTAAGAAAACATTCAAACATTTGGGGCCCTCTACATTTATATCATTTGATTTAATATTACAAACAACTATATTTTACACCAAAATCATTTAAAGCAAAATTCAATCTCTCATTCATTGTGAAAAATATCTGCTTATCATGCAAGACATGCCAATTCTACCGGCAACAAGATCTTACCTTCCCAGTAACCAATGAGAACAGCAGGATTCCCAGCGACCACCAATCAGCTGCGTGGTTGTAGGGTCCGCCACTGAGCACTTCTGGGGCTGCAGAGCAGACAGAGCGTGCTCAAAACACCGGATGTAGGCTACTATATATTTGTACATAACCTTTATATTCACAACCTAGTATAAAAGATTAAAATAATGACCAAATGCTTAGTCTGTGAACATATCCTCAGTGTTTAGATGTTATGCAGTGTTTCTCACCCATGTATTGGATGGTTCCACAAATAGTAAAAGCTCTTCCTCCTCCCTCCAGGCGACGGGACAACCCAAAGTCAGCTAAGCGGATGTGTCCTAGAACAGATCATTTGCATGATGTGCATGTGACATGACATTTTATATGAGTTACTGGTGTAGTAATGTTCTAAATATTTCCCATCCTAACCAGATCTCCTTAGAATATACAGGGATACAAGGGCATTACATGATAGACTGACAGATGTTTCTTGTTCTGGAAGGTTCTCCTGCAGTCAGGAGTTATGCTGCTCTCTGCTGGTGTTTACTCACCATTGTCTGTCAACAGGATATTCTCCATCTACCAAAATAAGTTGTCAAAAAGAATGAATTGAACCCACATTCATATTAACCAATGTAATCAAGTACTGTATATAAACAATAGTAATTTTGTAGCAGATTTTCCAGTGCATTAAAGGTCTTTTATTTGGGTCCAAAACATATGATTAACCTCTCTCTCTTACCTTCAAATCTCTGTGAATGATCCCAAAGTCGTGAAGAAAGCCTGCATAAAACCAGAAAAGAAAAAAGAAAAATATAAACTCAACTAGACTACTATATCCCAATGGCATATTTAAAACCCACTGCTTTGTTGCTCTGGGGGATTCTACCACAGATAAATGCTATTTTTATATTTACTTACATTAAATAGCTTTAACTAGGGAAACTTTACATTACATTACATTACATGTCACTAGTTAGACTCTTTTATCCAAAGCGACTTACATACATTCGGTACTGTGGACAATCCCTACAGGAGCAATTTGGGGTGAAGCGTCTTGCCCAGGGACACAACGACATGCTGACTGCAGTGGGACTCAAACTTGCTACCCCCTGATTCGAGGTCCAGCACACTCTCCACTGCGCCACAGCCTCCCTTCTGATCTAACTATTTTAATATTTGAAGGAAACAGCTTGAGGTGTTAAATATAAAAAATATTAGAGCATGCTCACCGAGTGCACATCCCAACTCGGCTGCAAACACTCGCACTGTGTCCTCTGAGAACTGACCAATCATCTGCCAGTAGGTGTACAGGTCTCCTGTGCTGCAGTAGTCACACACTGCGGGGGAAGAGACAGCGTTAAAACATGCTTTGTCATGCAATGAGAGGTGTGACGGACGGGTAGTGACGGTCAGCGGGATGTGGAACACACACTGGTGGAAGTAAAAGGAAAGAGGAACGTGATCTAGAAGTGAGGAGAGTGTAAAACTATTTTCCAAAACAAATTCAAAAGTTGACTCACTGTTTTCAGTAAGTCTGCCAAGCACACAGTTTCTAAAAGTGGGGTAAATAGGGAACAAGTGCGTGTTTGGAATAATCGACCATCCCTTGAGATATTAATCTAGCCTCAAGAAGCCACCCTCTTTAATACAGAAGGATGTCTTTATACAGTCTTAACTTGCTCACAAGCCCTACAGGTATGGCTTAGTAATTCAGTCATGGTTCACTATTCGAGCGAGCGCCCTCTCCTGCACGTGCACGTGTTGAGATGCAGTGTTCAACATCTGGTTCCCGGACCAACTTTGCTCCCTTTTTCTCACAGGGGGTAGGGTAACACACTTTCCGAGTGAGTGGCTGATTTGGTAAAAAAGGGTAAAGGCTCCTGAAGAGAGGGAAAAGGAGGCAAAGCAGATAAAGGACGCACAGACAGTAGCAGATTGGGATTGTAGGGATTCAAGTCTCAAAGCAAAACAACCAGAAGAAGAAGACTTCATTTTATCTTTTTTATTTTGGTTGTATTGTTCTCGCTGTTGGGTCTGGTATTTTGGGTAGATTCTGGAGACGACTAC